TGTTGTGTCAAATTCCAGTGTAGAGCTACAATTTTTTCAGTTCTACATGAACATGTATATATTCATTGTCACATTTTTTTTTGCTGTGAGCTACCACAAGATCTTGTATATATTTCCCTGTGCTATACAGTATAATCTTGTTTATCTATTCTACCTTTTGAAATTCCAGTCTGTCCCTTCCCACCCCCTGCCCCCTTGGCAACCACAAGTTTGTATTCTATGTCTATGAGTCTGTTTCTGTTTTGTATTTATGTTTTGGGTTTTTTTAGATTCCACACATGAGTGATCTCATATGGTATTTTTCTTTCTCTTTCTGGCTTACTTCACTTAGAATGACATTCTCTAGGAGCATCCATGTTGCTGCAAATGGCGTTATGTTGTCGGTTTTTATGGCTGAGTAGTATTCCATTGTATAAATATACCACATCTTCTTTATCTAGAAATCTGTTGATGGGCACAAAAATCCATTTCTTCAATTGATAACTCTGGGAGGAAGAGGGCCGTGTCCAGAGTGTCAGATGTAAAAACACGAGGAGAAATTATTATACGTTCTTATGTGTATACCAGTCTCTCTAATCTCTTATTACATTCCCACGTAGTAACGGGGACATTTAAGGAGCTGAGTGGTTTGCCCAGGGCTGCATAGCCACTACCCTGCTGGGGTGTGACTTAGACCCACTCTATTTGCTTCCAAAGTCACTGTTCTTGCCACTGTTTCAGGCTTCCTTGAAGAAAACCTGCACCCTTGGTTGTCAGGTGTGTAGCACAGCTATCACTGTATCTTGTATTTAGAATGAAGAAATCTTTGTTCTCTTGGAAAAAACAAGCTTTTAGAAGCAGGCATCTTGATGGAAGTGATTCATGATCGTCCCCTCCAGGCTGCAGGTGTGCTGATCCAGTTGGTGTGCAGTGAGTCCTCCGGGCAGTCCTCTCAAACAGTCAAGTCAGCCCAGGGACCTGGGTTCCTCATGGACATTCATGACCCAGCAGAGTCCTGGGTATCCAAAAGAGGTACCTCCAGGCTCCTGGGTCCACTGTTGCCATTAAGCTTAGCTGAGAAGGGAAAGACAGAAGTGAGCATTCCCTGCAAGGGAGGAAGGTGGTCTCCTGCTACCTTTGAAATTCTCTGCAAGAGACTGTACTCCATATTGTTTGAGACCCAACTCGAAGTATTGTTTTATCTCCTTGATTTGTGGTCACTTTGGAGAAAGCTAACAAGCAAAGGCACTTGACAATTAATTCCACCTGGCGTCTCAAAAGGCAGCCCAGGAAACGATCATGCGTCCACCCACCCTAGGGCGGGTGGGAGGTATGCTGGGGGCAGAAGGTGTAGTGGGGGCTGTCAGGTGTACAGTGTCTGCACAGGGTCTCAGCATGCTTTAAGGCTTGCCCGGAAAGGGGAAAACAAGCTCCGGATCTTGTATCCACGGCTTCCTCGCTGAGGGATTAGGGGCAAGCAGCTGAAACTCCCTGAAGCCTCATTTTCTCATCTGCAAGTCTGGAAGAAATCGGCTTGCTTCCTACGGTTGTTTAGAAGGTTAACTGAGATCAAATATGTACCAGCACCGAACAGTCTGCCCGATGCCTGGCACACAATCAGCTTCCTCCCCTCCCAATTCATTCTGTGCAAGCTTGCCAAGTTCATCTTCCTGCAGCATATCTCCAATTGTGTCACCTCTCTGCTCAGAAGCCCTGGGTGGCTCTCTATTACTTATTGAATAATGGTCACCTTCCCTGGCTTGACTTCCAGGGCCATGCTCACTGGGACCCACATCCCCTATCAGGCGGGATGGCTGCTTCTTCCTTCAGCACAGCCTGCACTCTGCAAAGCTGAATGACATGTTCATCCTTTGTCATGCTTCCCCCTCCTGTACCTTTATCCTTTCCTGCGGGTCCCCTGCCCCATCCCTGCGCCACCTCACCTGACACTGGTGCTGGTGCAAGGCTGGGCTTGAACAGTATGTGGTCCAATAAGTGCTCCCTGACTTGTCTCCCAGAGTGGTCTCTTCATGCCTGTCCGTTCTCCCAGTTTTCTCTGTACCTCTCTTATGAAACTGCTGGGCATTTCAGTCACTCGTGGCCATGTTGTCTTATTTCCTTGTTATCCTGTGAGTTTCCCAAGGACACGATTTACTTCCCTCAGTGCATCCTGTACAGCACCTAACGCTCAGTATAGGGATGAATGAGTGAGTGAGTAAGAGAAGGATTAAACACCCTAATCCTTTCCTCACTGTATTTCCCTTCATAAAATGCTGGTGTATAAATACTTCTAAAACCTGTGGTCAACTCATGAGTGCTTTGGCTTCACTGACAGTCAGGTAGAGGTACACCCAGCCCTTCCTATTTGGGCTCCACATCCATGGATTCAACCAGTCACAGATTAAATATACGTGGGGAAAAAAACTCCAGAAAGTTCCAAAAACCAAGACTTGAATTTGCCATACAGGCAACTATTTACATAGCATTTACATTGTATTTACAACTATTTACATATCATTTACATTGTATTAGGTATCATAAGTGATCTAGAGATGATTTAAAGTGTACGGGTGGGTGTGCATAGGTTATATACAAACACTCCGTCGTTTTATATAAGGAACTTGAGCATCCACTGATTTTGGTATCCATGGGGGAAGAAGGGGCGCCTGGACTCAATCCTCCTGCATATACTGAGTGATGATTATGCTCTGAAAAAGAGGGAAGTCAGGGATACAAATTGAAAAAAATAAATAGAAGAAAAGGAGTTGAAGTTTTCCCTGAAACCTGGGCAGGTGAAGATGGAACAGAGGTAAAACTAGTTCTGCAGCTTCTTCCAGGGCAGGGAGGGGGCGGGGATCAGATAAGGCACAGATGGAGGTCTGCAGCCCAAGCTTTGGCCTGGAGCTGTGGAGACATTGGAACTGTGTGACCTGCACAAAGGAGAGGGTTTGAGAAAGACCCTGGGTTCATCCGAGTCGCTGGACATGACCAGGACGGCGGCAGGATCCTTGGGGGCAGCATCCACAGCTCTGAGTCCTAAAATCCACGAGGAGCTGGGCACGTGGGGAGAGACCCACACCCAAAGAAAGGGCCTCTTAGCGTGTCCATTGGTACAGCAAAACCATTTCCTGCTCCTCTCTGAGACTTTGGAGGGTAAACTTGTAATGAACAAGGCATAGTAAATAGAAATTAAGGGCACAATAGCCAGTATTGCTCATCTGAGATCCATAAAACCATAGTCATATCCTTTGTAGTGTACTGCCTATGTTTTGTTTTAGTGAATACAGAATGACTTATAAGGACGTTTGCAGGTTTACCTCCAAACTTTGTCCTGTTGATTCCATTTCAACCCATCACGTCTTCTATCTGGGGGTGCTTGGGAGCCTGACCCACCCCCTGAAGGAGGGGATACTGTGCACTTGGGCAGAGCCTGATGAATGTTCCTACCTAATACAGTCACTCTTTGTTTAGAAAAACGGGAATTTACAATGCAGAAACAGGAAATGCTGATGAAGCTAGCAAAATTTCCCACTTAGGAGAATTTTGTTTTTAATGGAGATTACCAGTAATTCCTCACTTTATAATAAATACACAATGTTTTCTTAGTTAGGATCCTACATATATTCAGGATGTATTTGGCAAAAATTCTGGGAATTTCTCAAACAGTGACTTTTAACCTCAGATGCCTAAATGTATCCTTCATGCATTGTCCTGATTTAGCCTAGTGTGCCTTTTATATAAAAAAGCATTTTGTAGTGTTTTCAGTGAGTGAGGGTGGTGGTCGATGCAGGGAAAGTGTATAGACCTTGAGTCTGTGAGGACCTGGGTTCAAATCTCAGCTCCCCTTGTAGCAAGGACCGAAGGCAAATGGCTGGAAACCTTTGAGCCTCTCCCACACTCTTCTTTTGAGTGACAGGATTTCTTTTATTCATTTCACAACCTTTATTGTGTACAGATATCTCCTTGGGCACCAGAGATGCTGAGATGAACCAACGTCATCGTTGAATTCTAGGGGCAGAAAGGACCTCATGTGTGACCTAGTTCAGAGTTTCTCTCTTTCAGACAGAAGCTCAAGGAGGGGGGTTGATTTGCTAGAGGCTGGGGAGTGATTTGCTAGAGGTTGCAGAGTGATAAGCAAGTGGCCCAGAGCCAGACCCTTTTGTGAAAGGACCCTGCCCACGTGACTCCCAATACTCCCATCCTGTCAGTCACTGAGAAGATGGGTCCATTCTACAGGGCAGGACACTAAGGTTCAAAGAAGTGCAGTGACACATTTATTGGCCTGGCGAATCAGTGATAGGACTATTGCAGGGTCCGGTGCCCCACCACGTGCCCTGTCCCCTCACCTCCTCCCCACCCCCATCCCAGCACACAGTCCATCCTTCTTCACAAAACACTCAGTGTCTATTCTGCCCCAAGCTGCCTTTGTCTGGGTTGTAAAGGGTGCTGAGCTGCAGTCTCTGCCCTTGAGGGGTTTGGTCTGCTTGAGAAAGCATGTGAACAGCAGCTGTCAGGCAAGACCAGATTAGATGGGAGAAGAGAGAAAGATTGCAGAGAGAAAGTGCATTTGTGTGGGATTCCCAGGGTGTTTGGGACCCACTCACGTCTCTTCATGTCCGTGGGATCAGGCATGCATTTGCACTGACTGCTGGGCAGAGAGACCTGTGAGAAAGTTGAGGACATCTTGCCACCTCGCTTAGTTGGGTCTGTCTTCTCTTCTTCAACAGATAGGATCCCGTCCCGTCCTCCAGGATCCGATGGCCCTGGAGAGAGGGCTGCAGGGCCCACGGACACTGCTGACTCTTCAGAACGTGCTGACATGGAGCCAGGTCAGTCCCCTTGTCTGCTCTGATTTTCTGCGTCATCAATTGCAAACCTGTGGTCTTGATGAGAAGTGCCTTCTTGGAATCTGCAAATAAGCATAACGTTTGGTTGAAGGCTTTCGCTACTAAGCTGTGTGGGAAGCAGAGGAGGTCAAGGCAGAATGGAGGTGGCCTTTTCAGGGAGCAGATGCAGTGGGAGGACTGGCGGCTGCTGGGAGCCAAGCCAGCAGCCAGCATGGCGGGAGGACATGGCAGGCAAGGGCTGGGCATCCGGCCAGGCTGTGATGGGGGAGCTGGCAGTCGTGAAGCACCATGCAGGTCCAGGACCACAGAGGCTGCAGTGGCCATCAGAGTCATTCTGGGGTGCACGAGACCAAGGACAGGGTCCAGAGTTTGGTAGTTACATTTCAAGCTGAGTTGGAGTGGGATGAGGGGCAGAGTTGAGAATGAGGTTGGAGGAGGCGAGTGGGCGGCTGCCCGGAGGACAGGTGGTCTGGGGTCCAGCTGTCCAGAATGGAGGCTCTCTGGAGGCTTTGCTTCATCTGTCTGTGCAGTGACAAAAACAGAGCACACCTGGGTCAGGTAGCAGAAGGATGTTTCAAGCTAGAGAAGGAATATGGCCGAGAGAAAGGTAGGCGCATAGATGGAGTCTGCGTCGTGAAGAAAGCCCAGACCCAGGGACTGAGCCTTTTATCCAAAACCTACTGTGAAGCCAAGACTTTTTCTTATCTTCTGGGCAGTCTTGTGGGGCAGAAGTCTGAGTCTTTCTGGGCTCGGTTATGTTGTAGTGATAAACGAACTCCAGAATCTCAGTGGCTTAACACAGCCAGGGGTTATTTCTAACTGAGGTCGGTGGAGGACTCTGCTCCACCTAGTGACTCAGGGCTCAGGCTGATGGAAGGTCTGCCATATTTTAGGTGTAGCTTAAATGCTTTGGCCCAGAAGTGACACACAGACCCCGGGCTAGGACTAGTCACAGGGTCCTGCCTGATTTCTAAGGCTCTGGGCAGTGTGGATATTTGATGGGCAAGCACTGCTTCTGCCACAGTAGATATTATGATTTGCGTTTGACAGGTAAGAAAACTGAGCCTCAGAGAAATGAATTGTCTTGTCTGAGGTCTCCCAGCTTAAAGGCACCGGAGTCTAGGTCATCCAGAACCTCTGATCCAGGCATTTATGTAGCAACTCAGCAAAGACATATGGAATATTAGCAAGAGGTCCAGCACCACGCTCGGCTCTGGGGATAGATCAGGGAACCAAAACAAAAACAAAGGTAGCCTGTGCTCTCAGGCTGAAGAATGTGATAAATACAAACTGGGATAAATGCTTGGCAGTAGAGACCTGACGGTTCTCTGAGGACACCTGTTAAGACTTTTTGCCTTTCACAGAAAGGGACAGGTAAAACGGGGTCCCACTTATTGAGGCATTGTGCCAAGTACTTCATTTATGCATCTCATTGAACTGCCAACAACCCCAAGGGCCAGTTCTTACAATTCCTCTCCCACTGAATCCCTCCTCCTTCACTCACTCTGCCTGCCCAGCAAGGCCTGGCCCCTGCAGCACATCACACAGGCATGATGCATCCATCCCCGTGAGCCCTGGGGTTTCCAGGGCAAGCACAGACGTCTATCTTTAAGCCCCCGGTGCCTGGCACACAGTTAGGGTTCAGTTGCTGATCGTTGGCCTGAGCCGAGTGACAAGAGCACCATCTGGAATTGCAGCCCCTGCCTGTCCCCTCCCCTGAAGTCAGGAGATAGGAGCCCTTGTTACCGAGCCAGTCTCCTCCAGCTTAACGCCTGCTTCGGAGATCAGGAAGACAAGGCAAATGGGACACTAATGAAATTCAGAGCGAAAACTAAATTGGGAGGTGTTGCAAATACCATGGAGGAGGGAGTTGTGATTTAAAAGGATCGCGTTCTCTCCAGGGTAGGAGGGGGAATGGGGGCGTGGAGAGAGCGCTGGGCTGGAGGTCGTGTCCCACAGGCCTGCCTCTGACACCTCCGTATAGGGTGGCCCATACATCACTTCAGCTCAGGGGCCTTTCCTTTGATTGACTTGTTTGTTCATTCATGCCTTCCCACCACCTTGCCAAAAAACATTTGAGTGGGCTAGCGCAATTATGATTGATTAATTAGTTAAGACCAACAGCATTTAATACAAAATTAAGGTAGAAAGTAATGAAGGGAAAAAGGAAAAGGAGAAGAGAAGATTATCAAAGCCACCCAGAAAAGTCATTCTGGGGAAGGGGGATTGCAAACCTCGGTATTGAGGGTGGCACAGGCTCTTGTGACAAGCACGTGGGGCTGTGGATGCTGAAGACCTTTAGGGATGGGAGAGCGCTGGTCCAGATGCAGTAGTGACAACAGCCAGTGTCTTAGAGCATTGTCCGTTTCTTCAGTTATAGGCATTGGCTGGCTGCTGTGTGCCAGGGACCCTCCATGGCATGCTTTTTCTCTCTATCTCATTGAGTGCTCAGGGGACCCTGCAAAGTGGTCTTTTCAAGCTCATTTGAGAGATAAGATGATTGAGGTTCAGAGACACTGAGTCATCTCTTCAGCCAGGGGTGCCGGGACCACTGGAGATTCACATTCAAAGCATGAAGTTAGACCCCTTCCTCACAGCATATACAGATACCAGCTCAGGATGAATCATCTGCCCAGCCCTGGTGGGTGCCCCTGGGGTAGGCATTGCAGCAGAACCGTGTTGGGAGGTGGAGGCCTCCTGGTGGGAGGCTTGGGATGCCAGGCAGAGGAGCTGGGATGTTCTGTTATTCTTGTTTAAGAAAAGAGAAGTCACTGAACGTTTTGGCACAAGCATTGACTTGATTGATATGTGCGGAGGACTGTAGTCACCAGCAGGCAGATAGAAGTCATCCAGTTCTCATTCAAATTCACTAGCAAATAAAGTCATGTCAGTGATCTACAAGAGAAGGGGAAAGGAGGAAAAGAAGGAGGAAGGAAGCTAACAGCTAACTGAGTGCTCACTGGGTGCCAGGCATTCACCATGTTTTCCAATCATCACAGCCGTCAGGTGGTACTCTCCCCTTTTACAGATGAATAAACCGAGGCATCCGTCCCCCCTGCCCCAGGATACCTACTAGTAAATGGCAGAGCTGGGACTCAGACACAAGTCATTCTGCTTCTAAAGCCCACTCCTCCACCCGGGCTTGGCCGCACTTGTTTGATCTAGAATGTTTACTGCTATGTGCTGCCTTTTTAAAATGCGTTTCTATCACATCTTTCAAATACACTTTCTAGCTCTTGGGGTGATGAACTGGAACACCAGTTACGCTTCTTGGCTCCGCCCGTTTGGAGTCTACCATGGCGGCTCCCCTGCACACAGCAGATGGGCACAAATCCCCACTTTTCTGTTGCTTATTTTTCATAGAAGACACGGCCACAGTTGAGATAGGAACTGTCAGCTAGAGTTATGAGTGACTCAGAGACTTCTGAGTGGTCAGGCCGTGTGGGAACCATCCATTCTGGTTGGCATGGGGACCAGGGAGGTCAGAGGGCTTGGGACAGATACATTATTTTGCTCAGGGTCAGATTAGAGAAATAATCCTGACTGGAACACCCTGGTTCTTGTGTAAGGCACATAAAAGCTTATGAGGCTAAAAATGTGTTGTCACATATGGAGCCCTTTATGGCGTTGAAGCAAGGATCTATGAACAGTGACTGAAGTCTTACTGTGGGTTAGTTCCTGTGCTGGGCACATGTTTTATTCTTGTTATGGAAACCTATGTGTTTTTGGCACTGCGGGATAGAGATATCCCCATTTTCTAGCAATTAAACTGAGACACAGAGGAGAATCCTGCTCAGGGAGCGTATGTCCTAGTGCCTGGTGGAGCTGGGGTTTGAAGCCAGGTCTGTTTGACTCATCCTTTGGGAACGCCGCACTGTCCCCCAGCTGGGGAGAAAATGCTGGCTCTGGTCCCGGAGGGGCATCCTGCTTCCCCTTGTGAGGTTCAGCCATCCAAGCAGTGCCTCTGTGCCATCGACACCCTGGTGCTGGCTTCAGGCTCTTTCTCCCCAGACCATCTATCTGTCCTCTGAGGTTTCTTTTCCCTCCTCGAGTTTGCACCTTCGTCTTCATTCCAAGTACCTGGAAAGCCCACCACCCTACTGTGCCACCATCCTCTTTCAGGATCCAATATCTGCTTAATCAACACTCCTGGACCAAGTGAACATAGAAATGGTCTTAGGAGGAGAAGGAAGGATCAGGTGACCTAAGATCAAGTCCAAAAGTTGTCGCAGATGGAGCTGGAAACCCAAATCCTATTCGTTCAAAAGAAGAATCCTTGGGAGGGAAGCATTTCTAGACAGCCTCCTCTGCTGCTCTGGGATGTGATAAGCGGCCAGCCGTGGAAGCCAAGGGTGGACTTCTGCCCTTCCCCGAGGCCTGCCGAGATCAGCGTTCGTGGAATGATGCAGCCACTGCTGCGGATGTCACTGCCCTTCTGCAACCCCTTTAATGTAATCCCTATTTACCTGTCCCCCATCCTCGGAGTGGTGCTGCTAACAGTCCTGGGTGTGCAGAATGATCACAGAGCCATTTATGAGGTTTATTTCCAAACGGGAAGGGCAGTGTCTTTACCCTCGGTGGATTCAATGACAGATCCTCATAAAGGTAGGGCTTGCTTCCTGTTACTAACTGCATCTTCAGCTGCACATGTCAGGGGCCAGTTTAGCCAAAGCAGCGGAGGTCCTGTCCTGAAGGCCCTTTTCCTAGGATGCAGGAATCACTATACTGCCTTGACTTACCAGCTATGAAATGGATGGGTTTAGACATCTTCCCCACCCGCCTACTGCTTTTGTGAAAGCTCCCTACGTGGGAAAGAACAGAGAGTTGACATCTAAGTACAGAATCCTTTGCCTCTTTGGAGTCTAACCCTGGTGGAGAAGCTGAGCGTGCAGAAAACACTCGAGGAGTGAGAACAGACATTTGTTGAGTGCCTATTATATGTCAACCACGGCGCTAGGCATTTCACAGTCCATTTAACCCTC